CCCCCCAGAGACCAGACCACCTGCGCAAAGACAACCCGGGCCCCAAAGCCAGCAGCACGCCTTCACCCACAGGCTGTGCCCAAGGCTCAATCTGCAGTCACCTCTGTAGAAGCTACAGCGGTTTCTCTACAAGCAACAGAATTCACTGCTATGAGCTTCCCTGACTCCACTGCACGTCTCCATGGAAACACCACCACACCTGCACAGGGATTTTGTGAGCTTTAAATAAATACATAAAATGTCTCATGCTTTACCAGGTGTGAGATGGAGATGCTGCTCAAGTACAGTGGGGCCTTGACTTATGAGTTTAATTCGTTCTGAGACCGAGCTCGTTAAGTCAAATTACTCTATCAACTCAATGCAAAAAATCAGTGGAGAGACAGCTGGTATCTCAAAAAACTCCGTTAAGACACTGGCAAGTCAAGGCCCCACTATATTTAGTTCCTTTTCCCCACTTAAGAGGTTAAGGGCACTTAATGACTCCTTATCAGACAAGGTTTCTAAAATGAGACTCAGTTCTCCAACCCGGATGCCAAGAGCCCATCTGTGCAGAGAACATGGCTCAGACAAAGGCTCTAGACCCCTGGAGGGTAAGCAGGAGAGGAGGACAAAACGCTAGAAGTTCCAGGGCTAAGAGCCCAAGCTCTGACCTCAGACAGACTGGGTTGGAATCCCAGCTCCCCAGGCACTTTACCTCTCTGGGCCTCAGTTTGCCTACCTGTGAAATGGGAAGAATAAAGTCCCAACCTTGTAGAGTTGTGTACAAAAGATGATGATGTATACAATCCACTGTTAAATAAAAACTATTCTGATGCTTATTAACACAGTAGGGAAAATTTTATTCGAGACTACCCCACAGGGTCATGACCTGGGGGGCGGGGTGGGGGGCAGAGAAACCATGCTCAAATCTGAATACAGCAAAGACAGCAGTGGATTGGTAGCCAAAGAACAGACTGAGGCGGTCAAGACGTGGAAAAGTATCAGAAGGAGGCATCTTGCTAGAAGTGGATTCTTGCTAAGTGGCTAGCAGGATTCTCTCTAAAGGCAGACTGAGGGCTTAGAGATGAGGGAGGAGGAGCTTGGTCCGATAGGGAGGCACATGCAGAGCCTGCACTGGCATTACAAGGAGCACACACGTTGAACAACGCCTCAGGGGGCGATAAATGCAAGCCAAACCCCTCAGGCCCCACCACCCAGCAACGTGAAATACTCTACTGCGGCCACACAAACAAAGCGAACAAGCAAAATACCTGGAGATCCACGCTCCGGGAGCTCGCAATCCAGTAGTTGAAGCCCAGGACGATGATACAGGCCACCAGGGCAGCCAGCACAAAGGGCGGCGACTTCATGGTCCGACGCCCGTTTCCCAGTCCCATCATCTCATAGGCCTGGCTGAGAATCTGCCAAATAAACGCAGAGATAAACAAGCGTCAGGTTAGTACTCCACGGCCGGCCCACGCAGGCCACGTCCACCGTCACAACCAAGCGGAAGGCGTCCTGCCCCAGGGCACAACCGGCGTCCTCTCCTTGAAACGCGGAGCTGCGGAGGGAGAGCAGGCGGGCAGCACCGCAGCGGGCAGCGTGGCTGGCCCCCGGGCTCGCTCACGGACCTCGGCAAGTAAGCATTTCTCTCAGGCTCCGTTCCCTCTGCTGTAAAATGGGGACGGAATCACTAAGGGCACCAGCCAACGTGTTTCCTGAGCAACGGGGCGTGTGAGGAGTGTGCCCTGCATGGTGTAAGTCCCAGGACAGGCAGGCCTGCGGGCAGGGATGAGGCGGGCACCGGCTTCCGAGTTCCTCTCTCTTATCTGTGGGACCACAGCACGTCCAAGGAACGGAGCCTGGAGAGCTGCAGCGGGCACCGCGTTCTTAAAAGAAACAGACTCGGCTGACAAGAAAGGAGCCATCCATTTGATTCAACCCAACGCCAGGTCTGGGTGGATGCCAGCGCTGGGCACCAGGGACAAGGAAAAGTTGACTTTGCCAAAAGGCTTCTGCTGAGCCAGATAAAGCCGGACCTTATCAGAGGGAGGGCAATGAGCAGTAACTGCTTCAATGCCAGGTGGGGCCAGCAATGGAGGAGGGAGGAGGGGTGAGGAGGAAGGGAGGGAGGGGGGAAAGACCACCAGGGACTCACCTTTGAGGTCAAGGTCCTGAGAGTGAGAGCACCGGAGAGCTGACGGGGCCTTCTTACCCTATGGTACTTCTAAGAGTATCACTGGGAGATGTCCTCCTCCTTAATACAGGCAAACCTTATTTTATTGCTGGTCTGTTTCCTGAAGTGCCTAGGTGTTGCCTTTTTAGCAAATGGAAGGCAAGGCCCTCCACCGGCAAAAAGATGACGACTCGCTTACTTACAGGACTCGCTTTACAGCGGTGGCCTGGACCTGGGCCGCCGGCGCTCTGAGGTGCGCCTGTGCAGACACCTGGCCCCACGCCTCCGCCTCTAATCCCGACCGTGCTTAAGGCAGGGCCCAGGTGATGGTGCTTTATAACCTCCCAGGTCATTCTCACAAACAGCCACGTTTCTCGACCTCATTCTCGATGTTTCTGGGTGCGTTTACAAGCAAACAAGCTCACCGCGTGGTGCTGGACATGTCCTGAATCAATCAGCAACACATCCTGTTACCCTTTTCCTGGTGGCACAGGACAGTGCCCCATTCTTTCTAAAGGGCTGCCTCGGGCACCTCTGTGAACCAGGACTGACTCAGCCAACCTCCTGCCAAGGGCCAGCGGGGTTTTCCAGGCTTATTCCCAGCAATGCTGCCGCAAACACTCTTCCGCATCTGCATCTGTGTTTGCAATCTCGTCTGCAGGTGTACAATCCCTCACCCGCAATTCTGAACTCCAAAATGCTCCAAAACCCCAAAGGGATTTTTCATCACTCACCCGGCAACAGAACCTGACCTGAAATCAGATCAAGGTCTGGCCAGAACTCACCTGAAGCTACTAAAAAATTGTCTTTACCTTCCTCCGGTCATATGACTATGCATACACCGGCTGCAGGAAGATCAGTGTTTGACTATGGGGTGCTGCTGCAGAGCTGTCACATAACATATAATAAATGCCTCTTACTAGCTTCTGAATTCTGAAAGAACTCAGAATTCCAAGTACCTCCGGCCTCCACGGGTTCTGGGAAGGGAGGGGGAGCCAGCAGGAAGCTCATTACATGGGAGGCACTGACCAAGTGCTTCCAATAAGGCCTCGCTGAATCCCCCATCAGTGCGAGGGGTCCAGGGGTCCGCTCACCCCCTGCTGCAGCAGCTGGAACAGCCCAGACAGCTGTGGATAAACTTCGGTAAGTGGAATTGCTGGGCCTAAATATATGTGTTTAACACTGACGGCTCTTCGCTCCTTTAAAATATTTAACAAACTACGAAAGGAAAACAATACCTTTATACTGGAGAATCCTAACAGACTCCCCCTTCTGTCAACATCATGGACCGCCTGATATGATGCACCAGGAGAAAAACTCTGAGGAACTCAATTGAAGAACATCCTCTAAAACTCTGACTAGCACTCTTCAAATCTCTCAAGATCATGAAAAATAAAGAAAAGACTAGGAAACTGCCACAGACTTAATAATAACTACAGTCATGAGAACTCAGTGCAAGGTGGGATCCTGCACTGGACCCTAGAACAGAAAAAGACCACCAGGGAGAAAAACCGGTGAAATTCAAATAAATTAAGTACTTTGGATAATAAGATAGTGCCAAGGCTAATGTCTTAATTTTGATAAACTCTCCGAGTATGTAAGAGGGTAACATAAGAATATGGGTGACGCCCTAACCGGTTTGGCTCAGTGGATAGAGCGTCAGCCTGCGGACTGTAAAGGTCCCAGTTTCGATTCCGGTCAAGGGCATGTACCTTGGTTGTGGGCACATCCCCAGGAGAGGGTATGCAGGAGGCAGCTGATCGATGTTTCTCTCTCATTGATGTTTCTAACTCTCTATCCCTCTCTCTCCCTCTTTGTAAAAAATCAATAAAATATATTTAAAAAAAAAAAGATGGGTGAAATATACTAGTATATGGTAACCACCTGTACTATTTTTGCAACTCTTTCATAAATTAAATTTCTAATAATGTTTTGAGAAATCTTACCATGTTGGCTTCCAAATTACTTCCAATAATTTACCCTCCCACCACCTGTAGGAGAATATCTGTTTTCTCACATAATAACACACAAACTTTTTAATGTCTGATAATCTCATTCATAGTAATATTTTTAAAATACACTTCCTTAGTTATGAGCATAAATGAACACCTGTTCATTCACTGGCCGTGTGTATGTTCATTTTGGTGAAATACCTTTCCATAGTCTTTGCCCACTTTAGACTGCAGTGTTCATCTTATTGATTTGTAAGAGCTCTTTGTATATTAAAGATAAACTAATTTTTCGTTTTATATAATTTTTTTCTCAATTTTTCATTTGTTCTTTGATTTTGTGAAATTATCTGCCCATAGTTTTTGGCTGTTGGTGGTATTTTTAAAATAACCTAATCTTGTCCATCTTTTATTGCTTCTGGATTTTTCAGATTTATCAAGACATTTCCTACTCTGAGTTTTGAAATATATTTACCCATACACCATATCTCCTCTCAACATATCTGTGACTTCATATTTATATTTAAACTAGGGGCCCAGTGCACGAATTCGTGTACCAGTAGGGTCCCTTGGCCTGGCCTGCGGGATCAAGCAGAAACCGGCTCTCCGACATCCCCCGAGGGGTCCTGGATTGCGAGAGGATGCAGGCCAGGCCAAGGGATCCCAGCGGTGCACCACTGGGGTCTGGGAGGGACGCGGGAGGTTGGCCAGCTGGGGATGGACCATGGGAGAGCTCCAGGACACGTCCGGCCTGTCTCACTCAGTCCCAATCAGCCAAGCCCCAGCAGCAAGCTAACCTACTGGTCAGAGTGTCTGTCCCCTGGTGGTCAGTGCACGTCATAGCAAGGGGTTGAGCAGCCTTAGCATATCATTAGCATATTACACTTCGGTTGAATGGACGACTGAACACTAAGCATATTAGGCTTTTATTATGTAGGATCTTTCCTCCACTTAGAATTCTTTTTAACGTAAGGAGTAAAAATTCCTTCTATTGACTCTTCTGTCCGCTGTAGCTGTAGTAACTGCCATCACCTGGGGCTAATCCACAGACGCCCCTGCAGCAGTCGACGTCCCAGACCAGGCCCACAGAATGAGCAGGAAAGGTTCGGGGAGGCCGAACACAAGTGCAGTCTCAGAAGCCCCACTCGGTGGCCCAGGGCTCTGCTGGCTGGTGTGGACGAGAGGGGCCAACTCAGGAAAGCCTTCGTGGCGGCCTTGCAAACTCAGAGACTAAAGTAACCACGAAGGATGGTCTGAAATTAAAACTCTAACTAAAAGCAGTTATGGTGGGTAGTCATGTCCTAGGCCGGTATCTCCCCTGAGAAAGGCCAATCTTTACCTTAACTGAGCCTATTGTCTTTTTGCATCTATGATAACATGTCATTGGAATGTCGAAGTAATTTTTCCTCTTTTTCAGACCCCTCAAAGCACAGCACCACTCTGAGGAGGCCACCCTGTTACCGAAGTCATTGTTAACTGTAAACTATCCTATACCCACCTAAGTAAAAGAAGCATGTGTCTATCATTTCACTTTTTATCCAATCCCAGAGGTTTCCCTGCTTTGCTTTCTCCCATCTCCCTCATCTATCACCAATGGCGTTCATGTAACCCACTAACGTCTCCTCTTTAGATTGTAATGTATAAAACAAGGTGAAAAACCACCATTCTCCAGAGCATTATCTTAATTCCTTGAGATTCTGTTTTCCAGCAACTGTCAACAGTTTGGATCAAATAAGCCCCCAGAAATTATTTACAGGTTTCAATGTTTATGTTAACACCAGGAAGGTGTGCAGCTGCCCAGAGGGCAGTGTCAGGAGGGCCTGGGCACCAGATGGACACAGGCTGCCCAGGTGAGAAGGGGCCTGTGAGGAAGGGCCAGCACCCCTGCTTCCGGCCTGCGGGTGCTCCACCACGGGATTCTGGGACTGTGGTAACCACTTGCTGCGGAACAGAAGGGACAGACACAGGTGAGAAATGACAAAGACCGAGAGGACTTCAGGCAGGAATTCAGAGCCAGATTTACAGTCGTCAAATATGATAAACATTCTCCTACCCCCACCTTAAATATCCGTGCACGGAGGAGGCGATGAAAGTGGATGGGAGATACGCTGATATTAATGTTCACTTAGGCTTCAGGTTGTGTCTTGTCTCGTATTTGATTACCGGTATCTGGACATACTAAAAAAATTATTAACCTTGATTAACTAACCCCTGCGACCCCTGGCTCCCCTGCAGTGAAAGTTGTGTGTTTCTGCAATGAAAGTCTCTTGGTAAATTGGAGAAGTCACGTAAACATTGCAGATTCTTTCTTACTGGCTTAATTTTTAAAATTTGGTCTAAAGTTGGTTAAAATTATTGTTGGCTTATAAAACAAAAATTCTTATAAGAGAGCAGAGACCTCTTCTTTTCTCTTTTTTTAAAGAAAAAGGTATATGAAAATGGGCAACCTGCCAAATGCATCAGCCCCTTGAAGCTCCTTGTGAAAAACTTTTCCTCCCACTTCCTTATTTTCCCAGAAGGGTTTTTAATCATATGGGCAAACAGAAAGGAGCAAGCAGATCAGGTTAGCTGTTTAACCCACGTCACCAAGGCGGGACAACTCGGCTTCTGGGGGGGGGGGGGGGGGGGAAAAAAGGGGGGCTGCCCTTTGTTCTTTCTCAGGAAACGGCCTCCCCTGGAGGTTCAGAAGTCACTGTGTGAGCAAACAGACCTGAGGCTACTCCCAAGGGCTGGTGAAGGACTCAGTCACCAACACAGTTTTGAGAGTTTAAAATTATTCTCCCCCGTCCCAAGAATGTCTCCAAGTCAGGTCAGCAAAAGGAGGCCCAGGAGCCACCACTGGCCTGTGTTGTAAATGTAGTTTCACGGCACAGCCATGCCCATTCCTTCAAGAATTGCTCAAGGCTGCTTCCTGGCTGCCAGGCAGAGGTTGAATGGTTGAGACAGAGATCTCTCAGGGTTAGTGTGAGGATTAAACCAGTTAAAGTATTTGTTATCTGGACCTTTAGGGAAAGTTTGTCAATGTCGGCTCCAAACTATGAGGGTTAATAGCCAAGTCCATTGTGTTCTCCTTACATTACTTTAAAAACGTACACAGAATCTCCTCCTCTCACTTTCCAGTCCACAATCCTATATCCTATATAATAAAAGGCTAATCAACTGAACAGTGGAATAACCAGTTGCTATGACGTGCACTGACCACCAGAGGGCAGATGCACAACGCAGGAGCTGCCCCCTGGTGGTCAGTGTGCTCCCACAGGGGGAGCGCCACTCAGCCAGAAGCCCAGAAGTCAGGCTCATGCTGGCGAGTGCAGCGGTGGTGGCGGGAGCCTCTCCTGCCTCTGCAGCAGTGGTAAGCATGTCCTACTGCCTGCTTAGGCCCGCTCCTCATCAGCTGGACATCCCCCAGATTGTGAGAGGGTGCAGGCCAGGCTGAGGGAACCCCGGATCCCCCAGTGCAAGAATCTCGTGCACCAGGCCTCTAGTTAGTATATAATTTTGTCTCTTCTAAAAATCTGTCAAGGCAATACTTTTAAAAACTGGTAACAGCCAAAGTTCCAGCCCAACTGAGCCTCGCAAGACTGCTGCCCCGGCCAATATCACATGGAGCAGAACCA